GTCTGTGCTTTGTCCTCTGATTGGCAATTTAGTAATCTAGTCCCAAGGCTCCCACAAATTACTGGTGCGTTTGGATACAGAATTTGGCCACAATTTATCTAGCAGCCCTTTCTGTCAGAGTTCTAGCCCGCCACCCTGTTTGTTGTCACAATGCAGCTTCTCAGTGCATTTAAATTAAACTACTGCTTTCAATCCTAAAAGAAATCAACCCTGACTGTTCCCTGGAAGGCCAGATAATGAAACTGAAGCTCAAATACTTTGGCCACCAAATGAGAAGGGAGCACTCACTGGAGAAGACCCTGATGCTGGGAAAGATTGAAGGTCAAAGAAGACGGGGACGGCAAAGGATGAGATGGTTTGCTTTCATCTTCCATTCCATACAATAGAGCTGCCAGTAAACATTTAAATTTTGCCCTCCCATTTTGTTAAGCCTGAAAATCCTGAGGTACTTCAAAAACAGATAGAAAGGATACAAACCCACACCCTTTTGAGTGACCTGCTATTTATTTCAAAGGAGTAGTAGCTCTGTTTGTTGTAGCATATAAAGAATTCCAGCAGCACCATAAAGACTAATACAGTTTATTCTGACACAAGTTCTCGTAAGAGCTCACTTCTGTGTGTTCAGTTCATGAAAGCTTATGCAGGAATACATTCTATTTGTCTTTAAGGTCTGGTCTTCTATATTCCAGTGAGCCCAAGTGTACAATTATCTATACTGTATAATTCATGGTGCCTCTGAGGCTAATTGGCTGATGTATGAAGATATAAAATACAATCATTCTGGCTGCTCAAGGAACAAAGCTTTCCAAATGGTTCCCATTCAGAATCTTGGAGGGAAGGGAAAGTTGCCCGTTTGAATGGGATGAAAATTGACTTGTCCTCTTATGCATCCATGAGCTCTAGAAGTGATCATGCAAATGATATAAAGATTGTGATTTGGGGTGGTTAAATTACTACTGAAACACAGCTACCGCAGGGTGGTCCACAAAGACTGACAAAGGGTTGGTCAGTGAAGGTTTCAGCCTTCCCAAACCAAAGGTACCCTGGAAGCTCCGGCCCATAAGCATAAATCATATCAGAATCATCACCACAAGGCAATAATCCCCTTCAGTTTACAGACTCCACAACAAGTGGACATTTGGGACATTTATTGCAGGGATTCCAGTGTTTGGTGCTATATGGGTGTTTGATGTTTTCCCAGTTGCCTAAGTGTATTTTTATATCCTATCCAAAACTCTGGATCTCAGTGCTCTATTCCAGCTCGGCTAAGAGCTTCAACCCTTTTTCTCAGCAACTCCTTAGAATTATGTGCATTTCCCTCTCCCATTTTATGCTAGTTGTTAAAACCTAAACCTGCAATTCCTCTAGAACAGGAGTGCGAGGTGGCAGAAGACAGGTCTGCCTCTTACCCTTGCTTCTCCAAAGCAAACTTGGAGCCGCTCATTTCCACAGACATTTCTCTCATACACCAATATCCTCCCAGCCACCAGTAGTAACATGACACAGAAATTCTGCTCAGGCCAGCTCTTCCTACAGCCACTATCCCTTAAGAGTATGCTGTTAAATGCAGAATTTAAGAATGTGTGAAACAAAGGGCCTGCTCAAAACACCAATACATTATTAGACAAAAAGCAAACTAATCTTTTAAGGAAAAAACCTATTTCAGGTGGAAACCAGGCTGTGCTTTCTCAAGTACATTGGTATCCAACACGGGTCTTCTGATTTAGTAGGATTCTCCCTCCATGGTAGAGAATTACATCATGGGCAGCAACACAAATCCATGTGAAATTCAGACTCCCCTCCCCTTCAAAGCAGAGTTATGAGGAAACACCAAAGCACAACCGACAGCCAGTGTAACTGTTCACAAGAGAGGTACAGTATTTCATAACAGAGTGTTTCTACTCAGGGGCCGTGCTTATTTAAGGATGTAGCAATGCCTGCAAAGAAATGCAGATCGACAGCTGAACTATTTGTGACATTCTTTTTGTAATTATTTATATGTACACAGATGACGACTTAACTGCAGGATTGCGGTAGCACGTGATCAGCTTTGTTACCAGTCCCTTGAATTGCCTGTTTACATGTTTTTCATAACTTCTGCCCACAGTTACCACTGTTTGACTCTGGATCTACAGTGATAATTATGGAGACTTGCAGTACTGTGGTCTGTGTTTTGTCCTTTCTGCCTGGCCGCCTGCTTCATTGTGGACCTCACCTTCCTCTTTGTATTGAGGTGAACGTTTTCAAATAATGGATTTAGAATTGACCATAACTGAAGCTACATGCTGAAATCACACTTCAGCTAGAACTACCTGGAAATAATGCAAAAGGGAAGGGGAAGGTATTGGGACAATAAGAAAGCAGCCATTCGGAAGTGTGCTGAGAAAGGCATGAAAAGCCTCCAAGGATGTTCAGAACGTCACTGTACAGGATGAAATAGCACTGAAGCTAGAAGAGCTGGACTCTCATTTTTAGGACTGGCAAGTCCTCCCTTGGAGACGACTTCTGGCTCTTCCCTGAAGCAAAACCAAAGACAGACCTCTTGAAATTCACAAATGCCTAAGAGATTGCCACCTGCTGGTCCCTTTGCCCATTTCCCTCTGTCTGTAAATCTGTTCCACTGTGAGAAGAATCAATGGAGCAGCAAAGCACAAGGCACACTGGCTGCCTCCTCTCTTGGTATTTCAGAACTTTTAGTGGACAGTCCTAGCCCTTTCCCCATCAGAAAACGCAGGGAGAAATCAGGTTGGGGTTGGGTTTTTTTGTATTTTTCATAAGTGCGTGTGTGTCTGCACCTGGAAGTCATGGCAACCTCTGGTGACTAACCCCTACTGGGGGCCTGGAGGATATTCAGAGAGGTGGCTGAATGAAGCCTGCCCCTACCCCTGGTATTCCAAGGTCTCCCATCCAAATACTTGCCAAAGTCGACCCTGCTAAGCTTCTGAGATCTGACAAGATTGGGCTTGCCTGGGCTATCCAGGTCAGGGCTGGAGAAATCAGGTATTTAAGCTGCCAAAACATTTAAACAGAGCAATGGGAAACGGTTTTGTAATTCTTAACAAGGCAAAAGATTATTTGTTCGAATGTAGGAACTGTCTGAGGACAGGAGAAAGCCAGTATGTATTAGAAGGGAGGTGAGAAGCAGGTGAGCTCAAAGCTCCAAAATAAATTCACAAGGTTGCTGCATGTGTAAATCTCCATTTCATAAGGAACAAACAGCACTCAGTGGCTACAGAGGGAAGCCTCATGGTGAGTCAGCCTGTCCTCCAAAATATTTGCTGCCTTCCCTTCAGACACTCGCCTCAGGTCAGATTCTACACCAATTGCTCTTATCTGCTTCTTTCATCTAAATCAACATGTAGTACATGCACATACATGGCCAAGTGGTAAAAGAGCGATGGCATCAAACTAGTCTAGCAAGTAATTTTTTGATTAATAGGAAGGGTAGCTATTGGCTGAGTGAAAAGAGCTCTGGGATACACCCAGAGAGTAACCTTATTTGCACTAAAATAAACTTTGCTCCTTCACTTCCAGCTTTGTCAGATGGACATCTGTCCTGTTAGGACTCAGGAAAAGGCTAAGCAAAACAGGAGCTTTACTCACAGGCCCAAACCCAAGATGGGAACAGCAGTTATCTCCAGAGCAGTCAGGGTCTCCTATCTTCCCAGCTACAACTATCAATGGGAAACAGTTGTTAGTGCCTTAAGCCAGTTATGACAAGTGCAATGTCCCACAAGTGCAATGCCTTAGAAGTGCTATCTCCCACTTTATTATTGCTGAGGTATGAAGATGTGCAGGAGCATTTCTGCAGAAGGATGTGGAAATGTGCAAGTCTGTTGCTCAAGTCTTTGGAAAGCATCACAAGTCCAGGAAGCAATGCGCACGCTGACCAGTCCCAACCAGCTTGCACCATACCTACACATGCTGTATTCCTGCGGGATCATGTGAATTCAGAAGCAGGCACATGCAGAGCTAATACGCTGCACCCAACCCAGAAAGTCTTTTGCTCTAGGCTGCATAGCCTCACAAGTGTTAGGTGGCAATTCTCCCTTGGGCCAGTCATTCTATTAGACTAGGGGGCAAATTTTGATGATACGGATGTGTCCTATAAACTTTAACCTATTCTGGGCCTAAGTGAACAGGTAGCTTTACAATACCAACAAGCTTCTTGTAACCTAACTACACCAAAGACACCAAATCATAAATTATTGGCACAGAATCAAGGCAGTTTTTCAACACACATGGAGCTATCTTATACCAAATCAAACCCTTGGGTCCATCATGATCAGTATTGCCTACTCAGACTGGCACCGGCTCTCCAGGGTCTCAGGCTGAGGACTTTCACATCACCTACTACCTGGTCCTTCTAAGTGGAGATAATAAGAACATAAGAGACGCCAATGTTGGATCAGGCCAAAGGCCCATCCAGTCCAACACTCTGTGTCACAGTGGCCAGAAATACCAGTGCCATCAGGAGGTCCACCAGTGGGGCCAGGACATTAGAAGGTTCAATGTTGATTGAACCTGGGACCTTTGGCATACCAAGCAGATGCTCTACCACTGAGTCAGGCCCTCCCCTTTTGCTTAGAAGTCCTTTGTCCAATAGGAAACTTCCAGAGTGTTTCAAAAGGGATGTAGACCAATGTTTAGAAATCTATGCCTGATCCCTTTAAGAGACACTTTTTCTGTTTAAGTGACACCATCTTTATCTATGGTGCATCACACTTCTCCAAAGGCTACCAACACTCATTGTGGTACAGAAAGTTAAATGAAGAGCAGAACAGGCCTCAGATGGCCAACAAGAGGTTCAAAGGCTTCACTGTACACAGTCTCTCTGAAAATACCACCACTCAGCATGTTGTTCTGAAGCCGGAGGCCTCCACTGGTTTTCCTGGATGCTCCATGTGATAAAATTAAGCTACAGAACACCTTGATGACACAAAAATGGATGAGAGCACATCACTGCATAAACAGAAGATAATACTGTGCTTGTTGCGGCACAGAGATGGCAAGCCAGTGTAGGGGTTAAATGGAGCAAAAGCTATGCAAAACATTTTATTTACACTCTTTGCACCAGAATATTGGGAAGGCTGTTTACTGCAGCAACAGGTGGGTAGGAGAAGATGAAGTATCACAGACATGTGCAAAATGTCTCCAGGCTGGAGCTGCTATAGAGAATTGAACCTTTAGTAAGGTGTGAAGAGGACTCACCAAACAATGGAATGGCAACAAAAGCATGATACCCTTTGTTATCCCAGTAGAGCCTTTACCCTCCCTCACTTTCCTCCAGGCAAATTCCATGATCTGCATAATATAAAAGGGTAGAACTGGAGCCCCCTTTTCAAGGAACTGATTTGGGGAATGTACCAAATTATAGCTGGCAAGTTATCTTGGCCACAGCCAAATCTTGTACAACAGCTGGAAAAATGAGCTACTGGAGGAACAGATATTCTCCTCATATGCCTAGTGCATTTTTGTAAGAAAAGAAAAGAAAGAGCACCAGTACTCATCTATAAGGATGTGCTGATTTCTGCCAATTCACCCCTGAGGGATTGGGAGACACCCCCACCCCCCACCCCACCAAAAAAGGTGCTGGTATTCAGTACCCGTGAATACTGTCACACACAAAAAAAGCTTGTACCTTGCTATAACTCCCACCTCACAGTTATATTTGGCAAGTTGGGGAGGGGGGGATCAACACAGCTATCTGACTCAGCTTCCAAGGGGTAAGCCTCGTCCGAGTAGCCGGCACCTCACTCTCTCTAGAAAGAGCTTTCTGCCTAGCTCCATTCCCCCTGCGTACACCAGGAGCTAGCTGAGTTCTACCCGACCTGCACCTGTGATGTGGAAGGTATAACTGCACACAATAACACTGGATAGCTGCAGTCCAAGTGGTCACGATCACTGCTCCTCAGGAAATGACCCCAATTAGAATATCTTCCCATTGAGTAAGTAAGAGTCTCTATCCTGCAACTGCAGCAGACCAAAGCAATTCTTGGCGGCCTGAGTACAAGCTTGCAGCCCCACACTCAAGAGAAAGGGGAGTGGGGGAAGAGCCTAAAGTTCATCAGCTTTGTGCGAAAGTGGAGCCACTTTCTGAATGTTCCCTTCTGCCTCTGCTTGATCAAGGGCCTCCTTGGGTCCAGGCTCCACATTCTCCATTTCTTGCTCGACTGCGGCCTTGTTCCTCTTTTTTGTTTTTGTATTCTTCTTGGTTTTGCCATCTTTTTTCTTAGTTTTCTTCTGCCCTGAAGATGCTGTGTCCCCTTTCTTGCCATTCCATTTCTCTGCCAAGCAGCCTACAGAGGTGAGAAGGAAGAAAAGGAAACAGTGAAATATAGCCTCTATTCCCACTTCGATATCGCCATTCCCAGTATTGTCTCCCAGAGCCTAAATAAACTGTAATTTCCATTCAGTGTATGATGCATATAGCAGCACTGCTTCATGGTAACAGCCAAAAATAAAAGCTGTGTAATACTATTTATTAAGATGAACAGAAACAATACAACACATGCCTGGTGCCACCAGAGCATTTCTGCGGATGGAACCATTTTTGCCCATTTCTGGAGCATGACTTTCTCATTTCCTGTGTTCTGCCAGAGGAATCTAGGAATCATGCTACTGATATTCCAATCATACACAATGAAAACACGCTTCTTCAGGCAAGCAGGGACTCAAAGCCACACCCCTAGTCTAGCATCCTGTCCAGAGTGCCAACACTCCCGCCTATGTGGTCTTACTCCCAACACCAACTATCAGCAGCCTAGCACAGTTTAAAAACCCCAAACCCTTACTCAGTCCCAGTCTACAGTGGACTGGGAACACACATGTCCCTGAAATCCAACAACTAAGCCTGTTACCCGTGGGAGAGCAACTCACTGGAGTCTTTTCCTTTCAAAACATGATTTGCACAGAGGAAGTAAGAAAGGTCTTCTTCCTGGTGGTTTTTGTACCAGTCTTCAATAACATCTTCATATTCTTCCACCATTTTATCACACTAGTAGATAAGGATACAGTCTATTAGAAAAAAACTTTTTCAAAGAAAGCTACAAATACAAGGAAGTGCCCTTCAGGATACCTCATATCATAGTTGCTCACAGAATTTCTAAACATACAAGCAGGGAACCCACAGGGACTTGCAGGTGGCATATTTCCCCCCTATAGCCCCTTCTCTATTATCTTCTATTTTCCTTCCCTTAGAATCCCATAACCTCTCCCCTTTCCCAGCTTCCTTCTGTCATTCCTATCCACCCACCAACCTACTTTTACATGATCCCCCCCACAGCATTGGGCTCAATGTAACAGAAAACAAGGCTTAGAAGGCTCAACAACATCGCTGTGGTTGCCTAGCAACCTCCAAAATGGCTGCTGAGAATTCAGTGGGCATTCTTTTAAAGCTACAGCTGTTTCTACTATTTGGGTTTCTTTTTTTAATTTCATATTTTTCAGCAAACCTGAAAAGTTTGTAGAGAAATCCCTCCTATCTGCCCCTAGTTCCATTTTGCAACTCTATAAATCCACATTCTAAGGTCTAGTTTGGAATTAGACATATGCATCACACAATTTCACCACATAATACTATGTTATTTATGAAGTGGATCAGATAAAGTGTTGTACAAAAAGAACCCTTCTTACAAACTAAAAAAAAATGAAGTACAAATTGAGCAAGCTTGTTTAGAGAGTAGTGGCTGTGTTAGGAAAGACATTGAGTGCTGGAAGTGGGACTAGGAAATGGCCTTAGAAGGGCCACAGCCTTTTGCAGCCAACCAATTGGATGTCAAGATCCACTGAAAAGGAAGAGAATCTTAAATCCTTCTGGGTACTCTGCAAAGCAGCCAGCAATACACCTTTGGCTCCTGTTCTGGCCACTCTGGAAACTTCAGTCCTCCTGAAGTGCTTCACTGGCAGCTGCCCTCACCCTCAAGCTAATCCAAGCGCCATACCTGTTTCTTTAGGTCAACCACTTCTGCAGAGGTTTCATTCCAAAGCTCATAAGGAATATCCATCACTACTTTCACTCCTTTATGCACCAGGTTATGAAGAGTTTCAAATGTCTCAGACATGCCCTAAGACAATACAGGAATTCAAGTTAACGGACATGTTCTGAAGGAGGAAATTTTAAAAAAATTATAGTCCACTGTTCTTGCCGAGACTCACGAGTGGATTACAAAAATCCAAGCACAATTCAATAGAAACAATACAAGATACACAACAAGCCATGCAACGATTAGAAAGCAGTTTAACAAACACCATGAGACATGGCATATCAGAGTCCTCCTGAAGTGCTTCACTGGCAGCTGCCCTCACCCTCAAGCTAATCCAAGCGCCATACCTGTTTCTTTAGGTCAACCACTTCTGCAGAGGTTTCATTCCAAAGCTCATAAGGAATATCCATCACTACTTTCACTCCTTTATGCACCAGGTTATGAAGAGTTTCAAATGTCTCAGACATGCCCTAAGACAATACAGGAATTCAAGTTAACGGACATGTTCTGAAGGAGGAAATTTTAAAAAAATTATAGTCCACTGTTCTTGCCGAGACTCAAGAGTGGATTACAAAAATCCAAGCACAATTCAATAGAAACAATACAAGATACACAACAAGCCATGCAACGATCAGAAAGCAGTTTAACAAACACTATGAGACATGGCATATCATAAGCAATGCAAAAACTGGATTATGGAATTTAGAAAATAATGCAATAACAACAGGATACTTTGTACAACAAACAGTTGTTATAAATAACAACACTATTCCCTTTATGGAAGTGCCTCTCTGAACAATTCCATTCTGAAAAGGAAGGGGAAGGGGTACAATCCTGAATTCACCTGCCTTCATCTCTCTCCTAAAAAGAAGACATCAGTGCCTTCAAAGTAATGCCAACAGATCACTGTATCACAGAAGTCTCCTTTCCTTCAAGATTGACTGCCAAGCAAACCTGAACTATTTCATGGATTATCGGTTCTATCCCTTCTTGTAGGACTGTTAAAAAAGAGCAGGTATTTCAACCATGGTGGAGATGTGGAAGAGCTATGTAATACTGGGAAATGACCTTTAAGGATTTTTATTTACTTCAAAGAGATAAGGACTTTTCAAGCTGTGATGTAACATGGAAAAGAGCCTTCAATCATATGGATTACATAAATCATATGCAACCTTTTCTTTGCTTTTTTTTACTATGCTAAATTTGCTAACAGAGTCTTTTCTCTTGGTGTGTTTGTAAATTTGCATATATTTGTTAATATCTCTTTTTTAATGAGCAGGCATTGTTTCTTAAAACCTTAGAAATGAGATCGAAATTTGTTGGTGTTTGCTGGGGCCAAGGGAAGGAAGCTGATAGAAGTCTTTCAGTTCTAGGAAGCTTCACACCTGGATCCACTTGTCCCAATCCCTCATAATAGCTCCTGACCCTAACCCCCAAAGTTCCACTTCAAGACATATTTTGAAGCACGAGTTATTCTACACTGAAGAATTCATTCCACAAACGTCATTCTGCGTCTCCTGTATTCAAAACAGTTTTACAAAAAAATGCATCACATACACAGTAAAACATTGCAAATAATAAAACGAGGCAAATAACAATCAATTAATAGATTTATAGAACAGCCAACTATCAAGCAAAATAAAATTGTTTTGCAGTGTTTATGGAGAGTCAGGATGGATGTGGTCTCTCAGCCAAATCTCATCGGGGAGCTAATTCCAAAGTAAAGCAGACACCACAGAAAAGGCCCAGTTTCTTCTGGCCACATATCTGATAAAATCGGCAAGTCCTCTTGTCCCAATCAACAGGTGTGAGGGCACAGCATTTGTTTTCTAGTGGGAGAGTTGAAGGAGAGGGCTGTACAGTGTGGGATGCTAAATTTCCAGGGGTTTGGGCAATAATTAGTATTGCTCCAGAAATTTGTAATGCTTGCAAGACAGTACTGAAGGAGGACTGCTTTCCTAAGGCAGCTTTGAAATAAAAGGACTAAGGTACAAGGTCTCCCAAAAAATATTCAGGGCAAGTAAAAGTATCTACTAAAAAAAGAGTTAAGAGAACCTCCATCTCACCAAAGTGAATGGGCTATGATTTGGCCCACAATAGGTTGAATTTGTGAAGTGAACTTACCTTTTGTCCCCACCCACCCCCAAACTACAATGGAGCTTGGCTGTTTTTTTTGAATCTGCTCTCTGATACGGGTATACATTGTTCCTGGATTCTCTGTGTGGCACACTATAATCCAGATTATAAAGGCTGGCAGCTACACAGGCCTTATTTATAGGGACTAGACTTTATGGTGCCCTACTCTCTTCTAGCTCTACTACTGGAACCACAGAATTCCCACCAAAGTCAATGTATTCCTTAACTTGCATGGTGTTAAAAGTGCTTATGATAATCTCTAAGCCAAATGTTTCTACATCTTATTCACTGTAGAGTACTCCTTCGGTAGGAATTTTCTTCTTGCTGTGAAAATGTCTAGTTTTCTCAGCTCATCAAATGCATAATCTTTTAGGCATTGGACTGATGAACGTAGAAACAATAAAATACGCTAACAAAACAATAAGGTAGCATTTTGTATCTTGCCTTGCTCCCAAAGCAGGGGCTCTTCAAAGTAGAGCAACTTCTTTAGCTGAGCTATCTGATTTTGAAGTCACCAGCCAAGCACTCGATTCCAAATTTAGCACTGCAATCCTATGCAGAGTTACCCCACTAAGATCATTGAAATCAATGAGCTTAAACTGGAGTAACTCTGCATAGGATGGCACTGTAAGACTTGCAGGAAAGTCCATTGCAGCAAACTCTGGAAATGCAAGAATTGTTGGAAGGTACCAACCTTGGCAAACCGGTTGCTTCCTGTCCTCTCTTTGTGCAGGTTGTACGCCAATACCCTGTTGCAGATGTTTTCTTGAACATCAATTAGGCGAATGTCCCTGTAGGGAGCAAAGGGTGTTAGTGAGTGGGAAGATGTCTCCAGTAATGGAACTAGTAAATACCAGCTAGAAAATTGAATTCTATGATGACAAACTTGAAAAAATATGTCAGGATGGGGCCAGTGGCCTGGCTGACAGATGAGCTGCCATTTCCCTAGCTGTTTCACCATCAAACATTCCTTACAGATTTTTGCATCATTGCTGGTAAGATTTTATCTTATATTTAGAACTTTCTTCTCTCATGCTTACTACATAGTGAAAGGAACCAACACTATCTCAGCTGTACCTCAGTGATGAGTCACACGACCATTTTCAGCCCATTACTGATTACACCCTGCATCGACTATGTCACCTGGTGACCCAGTGAAGGGATTCTTCCATCATATCAACACAAAGCTCTGAGTGAGTACTTTGTCAGATTAAGATCACAAGAAGAGCCCTGCTGGATCAGGCCACTGGTCCATGTAATCCAGCATACTGCCTCACATACTGGCCAACCAGTTACTCTGGAGGGCCAACAACAGCACACAGAAGGTTTTCTCTTGATTTTGCCTCCTGGCACTGGTATTCAGAGGTTGACTGCCTCTGCATGTGGAAGTTCCCTTTAGTCACAATGGCTAGGAGTCACTGATAAACCTATCCTCTATGTATTTGTCTAATCCCCTATGCCTTTGGCCATCATTACATCCTCTGGCAGCAAATTCCATAATTTATGTTTTATTCCTCAAATTCTTTTTTCCATCGTGAATCTACTAACAATCAACTTCATTGGGATTTTTTTGTTCCCATGTGCATTAGCTCACACACATTTTGCCACACTGTTGCCCACTCACCCAATTTGTGGAGAACCGCCTGCATCACTTCACAGTCAGCCTTGGTTTATACCATCCTGAAAAATGTTGTGTCAACTGCATACTCAGCCATTACAGTGCTCATCCCCAGTTCTAGATTATTTAGAAACAAATTATATAGCACCAGTCCCAATACTGATTTGTGTGGGACCCCACTTCTTACTTACTCCCACTGAGAGAACTGCCCATTTATTCCTACTCGCTGCTTCCTTTCACTTAGCCAATTTCTAATTAATAAAAGGACCCATCCTGTTATCCTATGACTGCTAAGCTTACTTAGGAGTCCTTGGTGAGGTACCTTGTCAAAAGCCTTTTCCAAGTCCAAGCATAAAATGTCTACTGGGTCACCATTATCTACATGTTTGTTCATCTCCTCAAAGAACGAAGATCTCCTCAAAGAATGAAGTTGTTCAGGGTGGTGAGAACCAGAAAGGATTGTGAGGCACTCCAAAGGGATCTGTTGAGGATGGGTGAGTGGGCGTCAACATGGCAAATGGGGTTCAATGTGGCCAAGTGCAAAGTGATGCACATTAGGGCCAAGAATCCTAACTATAAATACACGTTGATGGGGTCCGAACTGTCAGAGACTGACGAAGAGAGAGATCTTGGAGTCGTAGTAGATAACTCATTGAAAATGTCGAGACAGTGTGCGACTGCAATAAAAAAGGTGAACGCTATGCTTGGAATTATTAGGAAGGGAATTGAAAACAAATCAGCCAGTATCATAATGCGCCTGTATAAATCGATGGTGCGACCTCATTTGGAGTACTGTGTACAGTTCTGGTCATCACACCTCAAAAAGGATATTATAGCATTGGAAAAAGTGCAGAAAGGGGCAACTAGAATGATAAAAGGGTTGAAACACTTTCCCTATGAAGAAAGGTTAAAATGTTTGGGGTTCTTTAGCTTGGAGAAATGGCGGCTGAGGGGTGACATGATCGAGGTTTACAAAATTATGCATGGGATAGAGCAGGTTGAGAAAGAAGTACTTTTCTCCCTTTCTCATAATACAAGAACACGTGGGCACTCAATGAAATTGCTGAGCAGTTGGGTTAGAACAGATAAAAGGAAGTACTTTTTCACCCAAAGAATGATTAAGACATGGAATTCACTGCCACAGGAGGTGGTGGCAGCTACAAGCATGGATGGCTTCAAGAGGGAACTGGATAAACATATGGAGCAGAGGTCCATCACTGGCTATTAGCCACAAGGTATAGATAGGAACTCTCAGTCTGGGGCAAGTGATGCATTGTATTCTTGGCGCTTGGGGGGGGGGCAACAATGGGAGGGCTCCTAGTGTCCTGGCCCCACTGCTGGACCTCCTGATGGCCCCTGGTATTTTTGGCCACTGTGTGACAGAGTGTTGGACTGGATGGACCATTGGCCTGATCCAACATTGGCAAGAATCACTGCTTCCACATGCCCATCACAAACCCCATTCACTTACGATTTTGTGTACTTGATTTGAGATCCCCTGCCATCCAAGAAGCCGTACTTCGTGTCAATCACTTCCTTCGTCTTGCCAGTTTCCTCAAAGGAGGATTTTAATTCCAAAGCCACAATCTTGCAGACTGTGAGGAGATTGAAAGCAGTTAGATTTTAAAAGCTGACCAACAGTAGACTGGGGTGTTCTTATAACACAGGTATGCTATACTGCTCAAAATGCCTGCATATATTTGGGCACTACAGAGGCATTACAGCAATTAATAACAAAAATAAGATCTATCCACCCCAATCACTCAACAATATAACACATTACTGGTAAAAGCAAAGATGGGATCAAACTTGCATTGACGTATTTGTACACTTTCAAAAAAGTCAATATTTTCATTTATACTATGAAGGTACCACTTGTTGAGGAGCTGAAATAGACCACGGCCACACTATCAACTGTATAGCTTGTTTCAAACTCAGGTCTGCTGCCTTGAGATGGTAAGTTTACCAGTAGTTACAAGCATCATAGTGAGGCCTCTCTCAATTTTTCTGAACTAGGCAAACTTTTTCTACTTTCTGAGCCCCCTTTGCCCACTCCCCAACTCCCCCATCCCATCTCTGCCAACGTTCTGTTTGCCAGACGAGTACAATAAGATCCTTGTGTGCAACTGCTGACAGAGAGTCCACTCCTGTGTGCAAGGAGGTGCAAAGCCAGGCAAAAAAGTGCTGGAAGATCTCCTAGCAGGAGCATTCCCCCATTTTTGGCAATCCAACATACACTGAAAAAGTCTAGTCTCCAATATGCCTATCCCCTCTAGACTACAGCTGTGGAGAAAAGAAACTGGACCAAAGGCCTGTACTCCATAAGCCCCAAACTTACTTTTTCCTGTAATAGAATAAGCTAACGTACACCTAGACTGGTCAGCATTTTAATACAACCACAGAATGCAGTAGAACAAGGCATGAAGTCTCATTGCAGTTCTCTGTGCAAAGAAACCTGAAATTCATGCCTCTGCTTAGCCATCAACACACAACCAGGGCAATCTCTCAGCCTCATTCCCCTTATATAAAATGACCAATCATAGCTTGCCCCATAGGGCTACCATGAAGGTGAATGAAATCCCCCCCCAGTTCATTACAACTTGATTTAAAGAGAGAGAGAGAAATTACAGTGCAATGATTCCATGCAACATATATATTGAGGTTTTTAAATAATCCTAACTAGAAGGAATGTGATCACTACTACTACAACAGCAATAATAATTACAAAGCTTAGGGGCTTAAGAAAACACATTTTCAGTGTAAAGAACTATTTCCAATCACTTTTCCAAAATATTGCATGCTTCCTTAGACCACCACAGGAATGTTACTTTAAAGGCATAAAGGATCCAATCCCATTAAATTCACTAAGCAGAACACAATCAACTACACCTACTTTATGAAGGATTTATATGGAGCAACTCAAGCTGTTTATTCAAAACACACACACAAAATGGACTGGTAAACATTTGTGTAATTAACTTCTAGTTACCCAATACTTTTACCTGGAGTGCACAATTTATTTAAAAGAGGGAAGACCTGGCACTTTTATACTGATGTTACCAATATTAATATTTCTTGGGATCTCTGGAAGATTCATATTCTTTACAGCTGACAAAGCCCAGGCTGGGGCTCCTGCTAAACCAGCCTCCGATTTTTCTAATTTATTTTGGGCATCAATCTGTGTGACAATTTCATTCATATTGGTCCCTAAATCCATTCCACCCATCACCATTTCAGCTGGACCTTACGTACGTGGAAAATTAAATCCTGTTCACAAACATTCTCAAAACACTTGTCTAGCGTCTCTACAAATACTTGCATTAGGTCTAAAATGCCCAGCTCACTTTTACATTGCTTTGAGCCCACTGGGGAAAGTATAAATGGAAAGTATTATTATTAAATCCAGTTCACAGACTTTCTCAAAACACTTCTCTAGCGTCTCTACAAATACTTTTGTTGTTGTTGTCAGTCGCACAGTGCCGTCCTCTGAAGTTGGCTCAATTTCATGTTCGTTGCATCTATGACACTGTCTAACCATCTCATCCTTTGCTTCTAGGAAATTACATTTTCATCATGCTTTGACACTAAATGAAATTCTTCTCTGATAAATTGTTACTATGTATCTTCACTGCAGGCTAGTCAGACGGCGGCTCGCGAGGGACAATTTTCCTCTCTCACTACCCACCCTGGCCATGTGTTTGTTGAAGGTGAATGAAAAAATGCCCAGCTCACTTTCTGAAGAATCAATGCATAAGACAAAGTACAATGTAGCATAATGGTGATAAATCAGTTTGTTGTCCCATCCACCTATTAATAAGCCTCTTCTAGGAAATTACATTTTCATCACATTTTGACACTAAATGAAATGTTTCTCTGGCCCAAAAGACATCTGGCTGTCCTCAAGTAGAGCCCGGGCCTTCTCAGTCCTAGCTGTAGCCTGGTAGAACTCTCTGTCTAGCGACATCTGCACCCTGCGGGACTGAACTCAGTTCTACGGGGCGTGTCAAACAGAGATGTTCCACCAGGCCTCAACAATAGTTAATGTACCTATGGGACCACCTCTCCTGGTTTGTTCCCCAAAGAGCTTTATGCTCGGGATATCAAAATTTTTAGATGCAAGGTGTTTCTCAAATTTCCTTGTCACCTTTTAATGTTGCCATTAGGAGAGCCTTCAAAGTCTTAAAAGATGATGCTGTTAAAGTGCTGCACTCCATATGCCAGCAAATTTGGAAAATGCAACAGTGGCCACAGGATTGGAAAAGGTCAATTTACATTCCAATCCCAAAGAAGGGCAATACCAAGGAATGTTCAAGCTATTGCACAATTGCACTCATTTCACACACTAGCAAGGTCATGCTCAAGATCCTACAAGCTAGGCTGCAGCAGTACGTGGATAGAGAACTGCCAGAAGTACAAGCTGGGTTTTGAAGAGGTAGAGGAACTAGAGATCAAATTGCCAACATTCACTGGATTATGGAAAAAGCAATGGAGTACCAGAAAAACATCTACTTCTGCTTCATTGACTATGCTAAAGCCTTTGATTGTGTGGATCACAACAAACTGTGGCAAGTCCTTAAAGAGATGGAAGTACCAGACCACCTCACATGTCTCCTGAGAAACCTATATAAGGGTCAAGAAGCAACAGTTAGAGCCAGACATGGAACAACTAATTAGTTTAGAATAGGAAAAGGAGTACAACAAGGATGTATATTGTCACCCTGCTTATTTAATTTATATGCAGAGTACATCATGAGAAATGCCGGCCTGGATGAATCACAAACTGGAATTAAGATGGCCGGGGAAAACACCAACAATCTCAGATATGCAGACGATACCACTCTAATGGTAGAAAGTGAAGAGGACCTCAAGAGCCACTTGCTAAGAGG